TTTTGTTGAGTAAAAGTCCAACTATTTTTGTAATTCCAATTGACAATAATTCTTGTCTATTTAAAAAGAAAAAAAAGATTGTATTTCCACACTGCGTTATTCAGCAAACCAAAACCACTAACTAACCAATAATTAATTCATTCATTTTCTTGTCGGCTTAGTCCCTTTATTATTCCGGGGTCGCCACAGCGGAATGAACCTCCAACTTATCCAGCAAGTTTTTACGCAGTGGATGCCCTTCCAGCCACAACCCATCTCTGAGAAACATCCACACACAGATTCACACACACACTCATACACTATGGACAATTTAGCCTACCCAATTCACCTATACCACATGTCTTTGGACTGTGGGGGAAACCGGAGCACCCGGAGGAAACCCACGCGAAGGCAGGGAGAACATGCAAACTCCACACAGTTTGAACCAGGTTCGAACCAGCGACCCAGCGACCTTCTTGCTGTGAGGCGACAGCACTACCTACTGCGTCACTGTCTCGCCCACCACTAACAATATAGCAAATAAATAGTTTTAAGCAGAATATTTCAAATGGAAATCACTAAAAACCTGTTGTTTTTTTTAGATCATCAGTGGTGCTTTTGTAGTGTAGACAGACAGTGTGTATATAAGCAGAATATAGTTGGCAGAGGTGCAAAATTAGAAAAAAAAAATTTATATATACATATATATATATATATATATATACATATATATATATATATATATATATATATATATATATATATATATATATATATATATATTCATTCATTTTTTTTCAGCTTAGTCCCTTTACTAATCAGGTCGCCACAGCAGAATGAACCCCCAACTTATCCAGCCTATGTTTTACGCAGCGGATGCCCTTCCAGCGGCAACCCATGACTGGGAATTATCCAACCCAAGCTCATTCTGAAATCGTAGCCCCGGGGACATTTCTGGAGACTGTGATTAACGTGGCCGGAGGTATGTATGGTTAAATTTCGTTTTTTTCAAGCGAACGCTATGGGGCGGTATGACGCCACTCCTCTTTGCAGTCGCTTGCTGACGGCTCACCTCTGTGTGGAAGGCTTTCCCGCCGTAACCAGTTTGTCCGGTTAGCTCGTCGTGTTACGTCGGCAGAGTGGAGGCCCGGAGGAGGAGCCGGCGAAGAGTGGTTTCAGAAATCAGACAAAAAAACAGAATCCAAAAAATGAAGTGAACGACTTCAAAACGGAGCGAGACTGCGGTGAAATCTGAAAACGCAGTAAAAATCGGATGAGGACTTTTCTTTTTCTGGATCGTCCCTTGGGTTTAGGAGGAGGAGGAGGAGGGTGGCTAGGTCCACCGATTGGCCGGCCGCCCAGTCAATCGTTTAGTCATTCAGTCAGTCAGACAGACGGTCGCTCAACAGCATCCTCCGGCGGCTTTTTACGCGAGAACAGCGCAGGCACAAACGGCATTTGAGACGCGAAAAAGCACGCACAGCGGCCTCTCGCGGATTAGGGAAAACAAAAACTGCACAAATACGTACCCCCCGGGACGTATTTAGCGGCCTCCGGAAACCTCCTGCTGCGTTTACAGAATGAGCGTGGGTTGGAATCATTCATTCACACTCATACTATGGCCAATTTTAGCATACCCAATTTACCTGTTGCCACATGTCTTTGAATTTGTGGGGGAAACCGGAGCACCCAGAGGAAACCCACACAAACTCGGGGAAAACATGCAAACTCGACACAGATATGCCAACTGACCCAGCCGAGGCTCGAACCAGCAACCTTCTTGCTGTGAGGCAAACATGCTACCCACTGCGCATATATATATATATATATATATATATATATATATATATATATATATATATATATATATATATATATATATATATATATATATATATATATATATATATTGAAATGAAACATGGAGTAGGGGGCAGGGCTTTCTTTTTGGTAGACAAAAAGAAAGCCCAACCAAAAAGAAACGCAAAACTAAATACTCAGAATTTGATTGAAGATTACTAAAACAAACATTTGGATTAGGGCATCACGGTGGCTCAGTGGTTAGCACTGACAACTCACAGCAATAAGGTTGCTGTGTATGGATGTTTTCCAGTACTGGGTTGCAGCTGGAAGGGCAACCGCTTTGTAAAACATATTCTGGATAAGCTGGCGGTTCATTTCGCTGTTGTGGACCCTGATGAATAAAGGACTAAGCTGAAGGAAAATTATTGAATAAATGAATGAATGAATAATTGGACATTTGGATTAACACAGTGGATTAACTTGCACATATTTATCATTAACCTAAAGAATAATAATGTGCGCAAGCAAAATAAACATTGTACATTTTGATTTCACACTGACTTTAAACAGGCAACCTGAGAAAGCAAAATGAGCATCTTTCGAACATTATTTTTACACCTTTATATATATATATATTGTTGAACGTGAAGCGGCTCTAAATAGCATTCATACAGCTGTCAATAAAAGGCAATTTCCTGGAAATATGTGGCATATGCTCTGACACAGGCTGACTGAGCAAACAGGCAAGGTATGAATCCTCAACTGCAGGTTAATAACGCAGAAAGGGATGGAGAAAGAGAGAGCTGGGTATATGGGAGAGAGCTTTTGTTTGCTCTTGTCTTGAATTTTCCAAACACACGCTCCACCAGAGGCTGTTATGTTTACATGTGATGGGACAAGACTCTCTAAGCGAGAGTGAATTTCCACACCGCCCGAAACGAGACGGGAAAGGAAAATAAAGGAACGTGAACACAGAGTGCTTCTCAGGAGAGGAGAAAACACATCTTATATGTGTGATCAGAAGAGTTCGCAGAGGTGTAATGAAAAAGATATTGCTCTTCATTCAGCCTGGGAATTAGCAAAGCTAATGAGTTTCATCTACAGCAGCTCTCCACCTGAGCATCTCCCACCACTCCATATGCGCATACACACCATAAATAATTTTCCATCATATGCTGAGTGAGATCATGCACAAGCACAATCAGGCAATCATCCTTCTTGGCGACCTTGACCTTTCAAAATGTACATATTTCATGTACTATGAAAACAAGTCAAAGACTCTGAACGGTCTTTAATAGTCTAAATGTTCTGTAAAATAAATAAGAGGTGGTCCTGTCCAGATCCTGTTTAACAGCTTTTGATTTGTTGATTAATTGTTTCAACAGTTTACTTTACATAAAAAAAAATCTTAAAAGATACTACTAATAACAATTAGTCTTATTAAAAACTAACAATGGCAATAGCAATGACGACAACAGCAACAGTAATAATTACTATTATTAACTTATTATTATTATGGACCCTTTTCACATTTCCGGGTTTCTCAGAAGCGGAAGTAGTCATAGTTGGGTAAACTTTAAAAAGCGCAGTATATGGGAAAATACTACAAATATTTGTTTTTGCTCAAATAATAAAATAAAAACTCCACAGTGATGTTATAAAGACTTTCAGGAAAAGACTGATAATGGCAGACAGAAGAAAGTATCGTCAAATTTACTGTCCTGCCCATAGACGCTGAATTAAAAACACCTCACACAAGCGGTAATTCATTTTTAGTAATTTGAAGAAAGTTGACATAATACATACATAAATACATATAAATGTTCACGTTTTTCAAAAATCAAACTACTAAAAACTTTCAAGTTTTTAAGATCCTGATGACCATTATACATTTCATGACAGGCTAGTGAAAAGGGTCCATTATTATTATTACTATAATTACTATTATTAATATGATGATAATGATGATGATGATGATGATGATGATTATTATTATTATTATTATTACTATTAATGACAATAATAATAAAATAAATTAATTAATAAAACCACAGTATTTCATAATAATGTAATCAATCTTTAAATCTTTAATTTATGTTATTACCATTGATGATAATAATAATAATAATAAATTAAATATATCATGGCTATCAGCCAATCAGATTCGAGAACCAGACAGAACTGTTGTATATATAACAATAGCGGCCCACCACTAATATATATATATATATTTATTTATTTATTTATATATATATATATATATATATATATATATATATATATATATATATATATATATATATATATATATATATATATATATATTAGTGGTGGGCCGCTATTGTTAACGTGCTGCATTTTTACATGAGACTCTTATTGCGCGATAAAAAAAAAAAAAATAACCTTTAACTATTCTCAAAGGTGATTTGGGAGCTGGGTCTATTTTACGGAAGCTATGATAACTTTCACCTTGATATTTTAGCGCGGATGTATTCCTGACGAATGAGCCGTCTGACAAAAAAGTGCTCTTCTGAATCAAATCAGCAGGATGTAAAATGAATATATGCATAATCCACGTCTTAATTCCATTTCTGTTTAGTTCAGTTATGACTTTAGTCAGATCAAGGTGATCAAAAATCGCTGTTTTGAGCTTATGTAAACACACAGTTCAAAATTCATGTTTAACTAAATAAACAGTTAGTAAACACAAGAACATCTTCATTCATTCATTCATTTTCTTTTCGGCTTAGTCCCTTTATTAATCTGGGGTCACCACAGCGGAACGAACCACGACCTTATCCAGAAAATGTTTTACGCAGCGGATGCCCTTCCAGCTGCAACCCATCTCTGGGAAACATCCATACACACTCATTCACTACGGACAGTTTAGCCTACCCAATTCACCTGTACCGCATGTCTTTGGACTGAGGGGGAAACCGGAGCACTCGATGGAAACCCACGGGAATGCAGGGAGAACATGCAATCGGGAGAACAATCAGCGACCTTCTTGCTGTAAGGCAACAGCACTACCTCCTGCGGCACTGCGTCGCCATTATTAATATTAATAATGATAATACTCTAATATTTAATAGTATTCAATAATACTAATGTTAGTATATATTACTATTATTAGTATTTAATATAAATAAACATATTTATAAATATTTATAACTCTGACTAGAACATTCCCTCTTGCACCCACTCTTGTCAACTCTTACCGTCTGAGTCGATGCTGTTAAGGGCAGTGGGGGGGATGATGGACACTTTGCACTGGCCGAGGGGACATTTGCGGGGGTAGAGATCCATGCATGCCGTGTGCACCTGTCCAAGCACAGACAGGCTTTTTAGACTTCACAAGTACTCTGAACTGCAGCTATCGAAAGGGATTCTGGGATATGTAGTTCTTACCATGGCCTTGCACCACAAACAGCGCCAGTCCTGCAAGCGCAGCACGCTGCCACATGTTTTGTCGCAAACAGCACACTTTGCACTAACCGGCAGGTTGCCTTCCAGCCATTGGTGCGGCATTGCAATCTATAGGAATACAATTGAGTGTAAATATATTCCAGAAGATCTATATAAAAGGTTGTGTATTAGCTCACTGAACTGCAGGCTTTACGACACTTACCCCATCCTCGTCTTCAATAATGTCCTTCCCGATGGAGGCCAATGTTGTCCATTTGCAGTTGTTAGTGGCCCTGACTGCACATCTTTTGTGGGCTTTGAATTTGCACACTGCAAGAGAGAAATGTGGAAATATGTTAAGAGGCTCGCCGGTAGTAACCTTGAGGAGCTTAAAAGACAGTCAGTCAAGTGTTTTCATTTCCGCAGGAGAAAAATGAGGTGATAGAAGAAGTCTAGATGATAAATGCTTCCTAAGTTAGGCTTAATGACCACAGCGACCTTCTTGCTGTGAGGCGACAGCACTACCTACTGCGCCACCACGTCGCCTATTATTATTTTTATTATTTATGATCAGAGTTTATTATCATTATATAGGTGTTTTATTCATTCCCCAGAATTTTTTATGGATATACAACTTAAATGAGCATAATAATGTAATGTAATGTAATGTAATGAAATGTGTATTTATATAACACATCCAGAGGACAACTGTGCCAGCCCACACACCAGCTAAAGGGGGAGTGGAGAGACAGTGATAGAGCCAATTCCATGGATGGGGATGATTGGGAGGCCATGATGGCACGGGCCAATAGGGGAAATTTAGCCAGGATACTGGGGTTACACTCCTACTCTTTTTTGCAAGAAGTGCAATGGGATTTTTAAAAACCACAGAGAGTCAGGACCTTGGTTTAATGTCTCATCCGCAAGTGCTCACTGACAGTATAGTTTCCCCTGCATAATTACATTAATAATAATAATAATAATAATAAAAACATCTGTTTGGACAAGAACTTATTTGTAACATTGCAAAATTATCCTTTTGTATCATTTTATTATGCTCAATAAAATATTTAATATACTTAAAAATATATTTTTAATGCTTAAAGAGGTGGGCCACTACAATATCATGTTTTAAACTTTAGTTGATGTGCAATGTAGCTGTGTGAACATAAAAAAATATCTCTGAATGTAAGGCACTCAAAGATCAATGCAAAGGGAGACATTGGCTTTTACAGAGTTAGCTTAGCAAAGCCAACAGCAAACAACGTTTGCAGAACACACACACACACAAAAAAAAAACATCCCAGCTAGAAAGATCATATATAGCAGAGAAAGCTAAAATGCTAACCAAACGCTGCTATTTTCACAAAACTTCTTTATGTATTTGGCTTTTAAAGGACATGACACAAAGAGAGAAGTGCTTACAATTTTATAGTAAATATGTTCCAGAGAATTTTAGAAAATATATAGCTAGCATTTGACAAAGGACAGCTTTCAGAATCTTTCCCAGTTCAGTGGTGGATTCGGCTAAAAACTGAAAGAAAAAGCAGCTCCAACCACAACAGAAGAAGCTTGATTTATTACATGCATAATCTCTAGTGTTAGCAGTATGTTGTAGCAAGGACGTAAACAAGTATGTAAACAATGGGAAATGCTGTTTGACAGCACTAACAATTTAGTTACAATTAATATTTATCCGTCAAACACTTACAATCTTCACCAGCACTGCCATGTCTCTTAATGCAGCCATTTTCTCTATGTTCTACATCTCAAATATATTCTGCTTATTCCGAATATATGTGAAAGACACTTGTCAGATTTTATTGTAGAGAGCAGGCATAAGTTTAAAAGTGTCCTTTTCATTTTCTGTCTGATTCAGGCTCAAACTGATACGGCTAACAGCTACTCCGACAGACAGTATTTACACAACGGCAAAGTGCGTGCAATTAGACGTGTGACGCTTTTCCTGGTGACGTGGAGCCGATCTGCAAATCACAGCATATTATGTTAGCTGACCTGAGCGTCTTGAGGGTGGGCCTTTCAGAAGAACTAGGAAATATGACAGTTGTTTTCATGTTAGCTAATTAACTTTATTTAATTAAAGTAAGATATATGAAAAAAATGTGTGATTTTTTACAAATGAAGCATGAGCACACATTGCTTTCCATCTAAACAAAACCAAGCCTTAAATATACAATTTGGACCACCCCTTTAAAGTAATATTAATAATAATATAATAATAATAATAATAATAAATTGATAATTATAATTGTATTAAATAAACTAGGAAATTACCCATGGCAAATTTAATGTAATATAGTTTGTTATATATACCTTCCGCCTACGACTCTTAATGATATTTGGTTTTTGGCCCTTCGTACTAAAAAGTTTGGGCAGCCTTGCTCTAATAAATATATATATATATATATATATATATATATATATATATATATATATGTATATAGTACTGCTTCAGTGAACTTGAAGAAGTATACCAAAATCCATTAATTTTTACTAGTTTTATTTATTTTTTATAAATAATAGGGGTGTGGCTTGGTAGGGGACACTACAAGACAATGTGCCCAGGGGCCTCTGAATGCTTAATTTGGGCCTGTGCATGACCCTCCAAAGATTTCCCCTGTTAAAAATGTTTTGTACAAAGTAAACCCGCTGTGTTATTTGCACAGTATGGATGATAACATATACAGTACCATACCAATTCACTAATCTGCACCTTCATATTCCTTTACTGTGGGATTCTTTCTTCACAACAGCCCATCAGTCTCATTTTCAATATTGCAAGACAGAAAGCCTTTTGGATTGTAAATCAATTTCTTTTCGTTTTTTTATTTTTTATCTTACGACTAACTCAATCCCTGATCCAAACAGGTGCTGTACTGTCCTCACCAGCAGTGTGGGAAAGCTCCAGTAAACTAATTGCTGACAGTTCTATGGTGATTTTCTCTATTAAATTGCATTGCAGGTCTAATCAAGTTAGCGATGTTCATCTGCTTGTTTCCAGGAGGAGAATTAAGTGGATGATTGATTAGCTGGCTGGCTTCCTCCGCCATAATGTACGCTTCAGCACATTATCATGGCCACCTCCATTCCTACAAACTTAAAATGTACACTCAGCAGGTCCCCGGCCACAATCCGTGCAGATGTCTCTACAAGCTGCAGAATATACATATGCCGATATTCCATAATTCAATGTATTGTGATAATAAACATGCACTATTTATCTGATGAGCACTTCAAAATACAGCGAATCACTCTGTATTATTATTACATTAGGCAGTATTCACACTGGAGATCTTCATGGTCAGTTCCGAATATGAGACTGCATCCGATTTCTTTTTTGAAAAGTGTCTCAAATCTCTGGGTATAAAACCTGGATCATTTATGGATTATGCAGATGTTGCGATTTGTTTACTGAAGGCTCTTTAATGTATTTTGAAGATTGTCATATAAAATATAAACTACCAAGATTTAATTTCTTTAGGTTTTTTTTCAAATGAGGGATTACATTTTTAAAAGTACTACACTTATTACTAATATTTTAAAGTCAGTCATAGAGAAGATTTTGTTGAATCCCCGCTCATGCAAGCAGATCACACACTTTTATAATGCTCTTTATACATATGCAGAGGTGAATACTCAGGAACTTTAAAGAATATTGGAGGGGGAGCTTCAGTTGACCATTACGGATGAGGAATAGGACCTAATCTGAACTCAAGCTAAAAAGATCTCTATCTGTATCTGGGCCAAATCAATTCACCTTAGAATTGGTCATTTATTGCACATCACACCACAAGTATTTCCCCACTAGGTGTTAAATATAAGGTATTATAGGATAAATGAAAAAAAATAATTCTCCTGTTATTAGAGCTTATTGGTTGACAGTTTATACTTTTATAAGCCATATGTTTAAACTTCTGCTACAGTTGGATCCATTGTCTTTGATTTAAGGTCTCCCGGTTGGATTTTTGCCTGACAAATATACCAAACGTTTATTTAACCTTTTAGCCTGGAGAAAGCATTCGACCGTGTCCCTCGTGACATTCCGTGGAGGGTGCTCTGGTAATATGAGGTCAGAGGCGCTCTTTTAAGGGCTGTCTCGTCCCTGTATGAACAGAGTGGTCTGGTTTGCATTGCCGGCAAAAAGTCACACTTGTTTCCAGTGCATGTTGGACTCCGGCAGGGCTGCCCTTTGTCACTAATTCTGTTCATAATTTTTATGGACAGAATTTCAAAGCGCAACCTTGGGCTAGAGGGGGTCCAGTTCAGGGACCACAGAATTTTATCTGTTATTTGCAGATGATGTTGTTATGTTGGCTTCATCAAACATGGACCTTTAGCATGCACTGGGGCGGTTTGCTGCCAAATGTGACGCGGCGGGGATGAGAATCAGCACCTCCAAGTCCGAGGCCATGGTGCTCCACCAGAAAAAGGTAACTTGCCATCTCCAGGTTGGAGGAAAGTCTTTACCCCAGGTGGAGGAGTTCAAGTATCTTAGGGTTTTGTTCATGAGTGAGGAAAGGATGGAACGTGAGATTGACAGGCTGATTTGTGCAGCTGCAGCAGTAATGTCGTCAATGTATTGGTTCGTTGTGGTAAAGAAGGAGCTGAGTCGAAAGGCAAAGCTCTCGATTCACCGGTCAATCTACGTTCCTACTCTCACCTATGGTCATGAGCTTTGGGTCATGACCAAAAGGACAAAACCTTGGATACAAGTGGCCAAAATGAGTTTCCTTCGCAGGGTGGCAGGGCGCACCCTTATGGATAGGATGAGGAGCTCTGTCATCCCGGAGGAGCTCAGGGTAGAGCCGCTGCTCCTCCACATCGAGAGAAATCAGATGAGGTGGCTCAGGCATCTGTTTCTGTTGATGCCTACATAGGGAGATGTTCCAGGCATGTCCCGCTGTGTCTCAGCTGGTCCTGGAATGCCTCGGGATCCCCCCAGAGGAGCTGGAGGAAGTGTCTGGGGAGAGGGAAGTTTGGGGTTCCCTCCTAAGTCCCCAGCCCCGGTAAAGTGGTAGAAAATGAATGAATGAATGCATAAATAAATAAATAAATAAATAAATAAATAAATAAATAAATAAATAAATGAATGAATGAATAAATGAATGAATGAATTACATTTAGCTTTTGCTGTCAAAAATATATTTATTGTTAAATTAGCTCAGTGACAAACCCCAATCCTTCAAAAGATTAAACAATATTATATTAATAAGTCTTGACTCCTTACTTGGATTTTATTGATATTTCTTCAAGCTGTAATTTGAGTTATGGTATGTCATGATTGAATTTATTTTATTATTAGTTTTATC